ACTATAAATAAATTTATATTTTGGTCATTTAACTTTTGATTATGAGTTAATTTAGTTGATTTTTTTAATTTTTTATAGGTTAGTACAATACAATTCCTCAGTGACAGTGTTCTTTGATATTTTATACTTCATGAATTTGCAAAGAGAAACGAAGTGTTTTTTTTAAATAACATTACAATATGTTTTTGCTGCTTGTCTCTTAATGGCAATCATCATTGCTTAAGGTTGATTATATATCAAATTAATTTTGAAATTAGTAATGTGGTAAGTTTCATCTATCAATGCACAACAAAATATTTTTATAGTTTCGTTCTAGTGGTCTTATACCTTCCAATCTATTCAATTCAACGATAGCTCAACATACTCCCATATTTCATGCCGCCTTCGAGGTTCAAATATTTTATATTAGTCCTTAAACTGTGAATTTTATTATAAATTAGTTTTTAAACTTCAATGTTTATATTAATTCCTAAACTATAACCCAATTCTAAATTAGTCTCTAAACTTTAAAGTGTTCTACATCAGTCCTCGGACTATTAGAATTATTTATTTTTTATCTTTCTATTAACGTGTTGTTAATTAATCTATTTTTGAAGGTCTCAAGAATCGAACACATGACCTTCTAAAAAGTTTAAAATGTTTTAAGGTAATGGGAATTGGACATGTACATTATGGAAAAAATATTTTTGAAGCTTTTGCGAATTTTCTAAAAGACCAAATGTTACATTTTTAGTACCTTTAAAAAGTAAATTAAAAATTTCAATAAATAGAGTTAACAATAAATCAATAAAATGATCAAAGTAGAATGATACAAATAATTTGAGTATTGATATAAAATATTATAAAATTTAGGGATCAAAGTAGAATGGGCTCATAGTTTAAGGATTGATATAAATTGTTTTAAAATTTAAGAATTAATTTAGAATGAATGTTGTAATTGGGGGACATTCTATACAATGATCTCTAGAACGTTAAGGTCATAATCCGGGTCGGATTTTGATAGGAATAACCTGAACTCGATCGGGTTGGATTTTTTAAAGGTGGTGTTCTAGTCGGGTTAGATTCGATTTTAAGGTGAAAAATATATGACTCGACTCGACCCGGAAAAAATATAATTCTACCTTATATATTTAAGAATAATTTCAATAATATTCTTCTATATATTATTTTTTTCAATTAAATAATTGTTTTTTTGAATAAAAATAATATTTTTTATTATTTCGTATTAGATTAGATCAGGTTCGAATTTATTTTAAAAAGTCGAGTCAAATTCAGATAGAATAAAGAGTATATATTATACGAGTTGGATAGAATTTTAAATAAAAAAATTATTATTTTCGAATAAAGTCGAGTAGATCAAAAATCTAACTCAATCCGATCATCCCTACCGACATCGTAAGAGAAAAATCAAAATTCTCACCCGCCCAAAACACGCAACTAGACACGTAGTGTACCCCGATTACCTTTTCCAAAATCTAGAAAACAAATCTCGACCGCTCATTCTTTCAATTCCAAGGGTTCAAAATCACCATTTTCACCTCCGAACATTCCAGAACCATGATCAACAAAATTTAAAGCATATAAAATCACTACCCCTTATTGCAAAGCCACACAGTTCAATTCAAAACAACAATCAAATATTTTTGTTTTCTACGGATTTCATCATTTGAATTCGTTGAAATTTCTAAGCGATGGCCGGAAAAGGAGAAGGACCGGCGATCGGAATAGATCTCGGCACGACTTACTCGTGCGTCGGAGTATGGCAACACGACAGAGTCGAAATCATAGCCAACGACCAAGGCAACCGTACGACGCCATCTTACGTCGCCTTTACCGACTCCGAGCGCTTAATCGGAGACGCTGCTAAAAATCAAGTCGCCATGAATCCTATCAACACCGTCTTCGGTAAATCCCTGTTTTCTCTTTTATTTTTTCAAAAAATTGTGCTTTAGATTTAGATCTGAGACTTTGCATGCCTTTACTGATTTATGACGTCATTATTTGATTAGCTAGAATTTAGAATATTTGACTACATTGTTTATTTGTGTTGACTTGAAATTTATACCACTTTTGCAATTAAAATTATAAGACTTTTTTGTGTAATTTTGGTGACTGAATTTTTTTTTTTTGTAATTATAAAAAAACAGATGCTAAGCGATTAATCGGCAGAAGATTTAGTGATTCATCGGTTCAAAGCGATATGAAGCTTTGGCCTTTTAAGGTGATCGCCGGTTCTGGTGATAAGCCCATGATTGTTGTCACTTACAAGGGCGAGGAGAAGCAATTTTCCGCTGAGGAAATCTCATCCATGGTGTTAATCAAGATGCGTGAGATTGCCGAGGCTTACCTCGGATCCACGATCAAGAATGCGGTCGTTACGGTGCCGGCTTACTTCAATGATTCCCAAAGGCAAGCGACCAAGGATGCCGGAGTCATTGCTGGACTTAATGTCATGCGTATCATCAACGAGCCTACGGCCGCTGCCATTGCTTATGGTCTTGATAAGAAAGCCACCAGTGTTGGTGAAAAGAATGTGTTGATTTTCGATTTGGGTGGTGGTACTTTCGATGTTTCCTTGCTTACAATCGAAGAAGGTATCTTCGAAGTTAAGGCAACTGCAGGTGATACGCATTTGGGTGGAGAGGATTTTGATAATCGGATGGTTAACCATTTTGTTCAAGAGTTTAAGAGGAAAAATAAGAAGGATATCAGTGGGAACCCTAGAGCATTGAGGAGGTTGAGGACTGCTTGTGAGAGAGCGAAGAGGACTCTTTCGTCGACTGCCCAAACTACCATCGAGATTGATTCGTTGTACGAGGGTATTGACTTTTACACCACCATTACTCGTGCAAGGTTTGAAGAGCTCAACATGGATCTTTTCAGGAAGTGTATGGAGCCGGTCGAGAAGTGCTTGAGGGATGCTAAGATGGACAAGAGCAGTGTCCATGATGTTGTCCTTGTCGGTGGTTCGACTAGGATCCCAAAGGTGCAGCAGTTGTTGCAAGATTTCTTCAATGGGAAAGAGCTCTGCAAGAGCATTAATCCCGATGAGGCCGTTGCTTATGGTGCAGCAGTTCAGGCTGCCATCTTGAGCGGAGAAGGAAATGAGAAGGTTCAGGATCTATTGCTCTTGGATGTCACTCCTTTGTCACTCGGACTCGAAACAGCCGGTGGTGTTATGACTGTTTTGATCCCGAGGAACACTACTATTCCAACCAAGAAGGAACAGGTCTTTTCGACATACTCGGATAACCAGCCCGGTGTCTTGATCCAGGTTTACGAGGGTGAGAGAGCTAGAACAAGGGATAACAACCTGTTGGGTAAATTCGAGCTCTCTGGTATTCCTCCAGCACCCAGAGGCGTACCCCAAATTACAGTTTGCTTCGATATCGATGCCAATGGCATCTTGAATGTTTCCGCCGAGGACAAGACTACCGGCCAGAAGAACAAGATTACAATCACAAATGACAAGGGTCGTTTGTCTAAGGAAGAAATCGAGAAGATGGTTCAAGAGGCTGAGAAGTACAAGTCCGAGGATGAGGAGCACAAGAAGAAGGTTGAAGCTAAGAATGCATTGGAGAATTATGCCTACAACATGAGAAACACCATCAATGACGAGAAGATTGGATCCAAACTCGACCCAGCCGACAAGAAGAAGATTGAAGACGCCATTGACGGAGCCATCCAATGGTTGGATGGCAACCAGCTAGCTGAAGCCGATGAGTTCGAGGATAAGATGAAGGAGATTGAGAGCATCTGCAATCCCATCATAGCCAAGATGTACCAAGGTGCAGGGGCCGACATGGGTGGCGGCATGGATGATGATGCCCCTCCTGCCAGTGGAAGCGGTGCCGGACCTAAGATCGAGGAAGTCGATTAAACCAAACATTAAGCTAGTAACAGTTGCTGCTGGGGTCTATATATCTTATGTTTTCTGCAATTTATGTTTCAAGTAATCTCTGTCTTGAAAACTTCGGTTTGTATTTTTGGGAATATATCCTATTTAAGGTTAATGAATATTTTGCTTTTCAAGTATTTTATATTATTATATGATTAATTGCAGTTTAGTACCTTCGCAAATAACGTTTTATTGGTTTAGTACATAAAATTCCATTCCATATGGGAAACCTAAGCAATGAAAATTGTGAAGTCCATTACTATAATAAAACAATATTAGTTGTACTAATAATTTTAATAAAATAATATTATTGGTCGTAGTTAAGACGATGTTATGATATTTTAATATAAAAGTTAACTCTAAACATTGGAAATTTGTTAATTTGGTTTTTTTAATAATACTATAAAAGTGTGAACAGATTATGTTACTATAGAGATTAAATCTTAAATTTAATTTCAAGGTAATAGAAAGATTAAAACTATAATCAAATCTAATATAAAGCATCAAATAGTCCTAATTATGTTCTTAAAGTGTTGATATTGTATGAATTAAGATTTTCCATTAGCGCTTAATTGTCAATTTAATCCTATATTAATTTTGATGTGAAACATAGGAATAGACCTCAATTAAAACGGAATTTAATTTGATTTGATTTTGAGTTACTCTTTAGAAAAATTAAGTTTGGATTGAATTATTTTTTTGGAATCACAAGATCAGATCTGGTTTTTGGTTGAGTGAAATTTTTTTGACTTAAGATAAACGTGTAATAATCCTTTATATATATTTTGTATATGACCAGATCATATATAAATTTTCATTTTAAAAATTAGATCGAATTATGATCTGTGTAATTTTATAAACCTAAATCAATCATGTAAAGAGTAATAAAACCTCCATCGAGTTGGGTATATAATCAGATCATATATATTTTATTAATACAATTTAAACTTATTTTAAAACATTTAATGTTTTATTTATATTAATACAATTTAAACTTTAAACTTATTTTTAAAAGATTTAATGTTTTATTTCATTAAATCAACTAATAGTTAATAAATCTAATTATAATTTTAATCATTCTTAAACGTGTCTCATTTATCTATCACAATTTGCCAACTACATACAAACTCACACAGCTCATGGTGTTTTTTATTTTTTTGTGTGGAAAGTAAATGCCATTCGTCGTCATCCCTCCATCAACGTAAATAAGCTGCCCTGTTACATACGAAGCCGCCGGTAGGCAGAGGAATGCCACCATCGCCGATACTTCCTCCGGCTCCCCTAACCGCCCTATTGGTGTTCGACTTACGGCTGTCTCTATTAGTTCTTCATGACCTTCAAAGAACTGCCAAAAGAAGTACTGTGAAAAAGAAGTAAAAACATGATCATGCTAAATGCTGAGTCCAATGTGGGTAACCCAAACGCATAAACTCCAAAAATATTCGAGTTCGACTGAAAAATAAAATAAAATTAGAATATTTATATTTGGTATCGAATCTAAATGATTAAGTTTGAATTTGAATATAAGAATCGAAGTCGAAGAAAGTTGTACACGTTGAGCAAGTGGAGTTTTGATCACAGCAGGTGCAACAGTATTGACCCTAATGTTATCTCCTGCCCAATCATATGCCAAGTGTTTTGCAAGTTGGTTCATGGCCCCTGCAACAAAATCAATCCATTCTTACCTGGATAACATTTATATAAATATAAAGTACTTTTAACGCGAGAAAATAAATGAATTGCAACGCGATTAGATATACGAATAACAGAGTAAAGAAGCGAAATAATACCTTTGTTGGCTCCATATATAGGTGCAAAATATGCAGGTTTTGTAGAAATGATCGAAGAGATAAACACAATGCTTCCGGCTGCTGAAGCTTTCAAAAGAGGATGAGCTAGTACGCTGATGTTATAAGCCGATTCGAAGTTGGTACTCGTTAGAAACGCAACGTCTTTTGCTGTGTAATCCGACACCATTTTCCCTATGTTCGTTCCAACATTATTTATCTGCAGAATTTACATAGTGTTAATCGATATATATCGGTTTATCGTTTCGGATTTTGGTTTGGGTTTATAATATTCGTTTTACCACGATGTTAAGCTTGCCATTGAACTCGGAGGAAACTGTGTTCAATAGTGATTCCCTTTGTGCTCGATCTGAAACATCACACACTGAACCTGTGACATGGAGACCCTTTGCTTTCCATTCGAGTAAGCAATCATCGAGCTCGGATTCGGTTCGAGAGCATGTGTGCACTTTTGCTCCGAGTCCTGCTAATTCCTCCACGTTTGCATGCCTGTTAGCATTGCAATAGTTGGGATTCACATCAACATAACAATTAGGGATGAGAATTTAACCCTAGCCCGATGAGATACGATCCGATTTGACTTGATCACGTTGATTATTTTTTTTGAAAATTCATGTTTAGATTTAGTCGAATCAAGTTTTTCTTTTTTTTTTGAAGGATATGATTAGGTCAGGTTCGGATTTAGAGTGAAAAATCTCGATCTGACTCGATATAATATTATAATTATCATTTATATATTCATAGATAATTATAATAATATATCTTTCTATACTATTTTTTCAATTATATCTTTATTTTATCTAATAAAAATAAATTATATATAATATATATGTATATGATCGGGTGCGAGTGTCGACTTTCACCTAAAAGTTCATATCGCTTTTCGGGTCACGTGCATGTACAAGTTTTCACCTAAAGAAATTAAAGTGAGCTTCAAGTCTAACAAAATCCTCCTAGGTTCAAGTCGAGTCAGGTTGAATTTAGGTGGGTCCATGACTATCCCTAATAACAAAAGTATATCAGTCTTTTGAATTAGTCAAAAGTGATTTTTTTACCATTGAGTTTTCAAAAGTCATAAAATAACTATTAAATTTATCGAATTACGGTTAAATGATCACATTATAATGAAAATAAAATGGAAAGATTTACCCGATACCTTTGGTTCCACCGGTGACGAGTGCCGTCATGCCATGAAGACTCCACCGACTGTCATAGCTACGCCCCATTTTCTTACCTCTCAGCTTTAGTTTCTTTCTTTGTTTCTCTGTTAATACACACACAGAGAGAAAGAGACAGACATATTGTGGATGATATGGGTGAAATGGGGTTGATCTTCAGCCACAGAAATCAAATCGTACGGCACTTTACTAATTCTGTGGCAATGTTTGATCTTAGCTTCGGAAATCCTAAATACAGATTGCAACTCCATCATGAGAACCTTAGTATTATTACCTTTGACCTCAATCCATCTTGTTCACCTTCTCTAGTTTCTTCTTCTGTTTTAATTCTAAAATCTCAAAATTTTGGGGTCCCATTATATATGCGAGGGAAAGACCTTTAAAATTTCGGGGATCATCAAAGCAAATATCCAGGGTTTTTGGACAATAAAGTAAGTATAAACATTCAATCGAGTTGAATCACATAAAATAAAAATATCTTGAGTTAGTCGAGTTGAAGAACAATAATTATCGTTCAAACTTTATTTGAAATTTTTTTCGAACCGAATTTATGAAATTGAAAACAAATTGTTTGAGTTCATGTTCAAATTTAATTATAATTATTTATAAAATTATGACATTGATTGATTCTACTTTAATAGAATTCTCTAACCATATATATTTTTGTATTATAATTTTATTCAATAAATTAGATACCACTTAAAATTATAAAATATATTTATAATTTTTTTTCAAAGAAGGTATTTCTAGAATAAAATATTGATAGGAATATAAAAGAGTTAAAAAAATTAATGAGATATGATTTGTAAAAAAATATATAACAAAATCAAATTGAATAAAATGTAAAATGAAGACTAAATTAAAAAGAAAAACAATTATTGTTAAAATAAGAATTGAAGTTACATAAATATTATATAGCTGTAGAGAATCATGTGATTCAAATTTGATAAAAAAATGAATTCAAAATAAAGTAGAAATTAGCTATAAAAAGAATTATAGGTGAATATTTATTCGAATTAAATTAAAAAAATTCAAGTTAATCGAATTGAAGAGACGTTTTACCATTCAAATTTTATTTGAATTCTTTTTTTGAGTAGAATTGAATTGATTTTTCAGATCAAAATTTGCTCGCCTAAATCTAAGGCTCCCTCCGGCTCCTATCAATTGGCCATTGAAAATAGTTATAAGCATCAAGCCTATAAGTTATGGAGAACAACGGTAACAAGCCAAAATTCTCGAGAAAAATTGATTAAATGCCAAAATTAAGTACATAGTAGAAGTAAAATCTATAAGTATCTAAAAGTTGCATGACTTGGTTTTTTCTGCATACCCATTTTTTTTCAGTTTCCTTCATACTTTGGGTCGGCCATCACATAATGGTAAGCAATTACCAGCGCGAATATAAAGATGCCTAGAAAATTTGCAAGAAATCCCAGTTGTTCATCATCAATCATCTGCATCATCATATAAAAATCACAAAATTTGGCAATGAAACCCCTAGTCTCAGAGAAAGCTTCAAAGATAAAATTCCAATATCTATGTTATTTCGTGCGAGCATTCTACATTACTCGCTATAAATATCGGATACACGAATATGTCCTGTACAAGTATATTTAAATTTTTTTAATCCATCAAGTGGTCTTAGTGGTTAAAAGTAGTGTTGTTTTACCTAAAGGTCTTGGGTTCTAGTAGCAGCGTCTGTCGGGTGTGTGCACATTGTTAGTGGTTAAGAAAGATTATACTATATTATAATCACCCCAAACTATTAGAAAAAGAGAAAGATCATATCCCATAACATTGTCCAAGTATGAGGCCATCCAGATACTTTAGCAAGGGGGAAGATCACAGCAAACAGGGAAAAACTGTAATCAATAGCCAAATCACAAATATTCCCGATGAATCCCTAATCTCAAAGGAAGTTTCAAAGTTCCAAACGACTACATTATTCGATGCGAGTGCCGGATATAAGAATATACTCTATTTGCGAGTATAAAATACATGTTCGATATAAATATTTTCGATGAATCCCTAGTGACAAATATTTTCGATGTATCCCTAGTCTCAAAGGAAGTTTCGAAGTTCTAAATGTCTACATCATTTGATGTGAGTGTCAGATATAAAAATATTCTCTATGTGCGAGTATCAAATACATGTTCAATATAAATATTTCCGACGACCCCTAATCTAAAAGGAAGCTTCGAAGTTCTAAATATCTACATTATTCGATGCGAGTGTCAGATATAAGAATATACTTTATGTGCGAGTGTCAAATACATACATGTTCCATACAAATATGAGAATGTTCAAAGTCTTTTAGAACATTTTCATGTATTTAGAATATGATGTCCTATAACCTTGTCCAAATATAAATCAAACACGGCACTTCAAAAGGAAATGGAACTCTAAGCAACATAGCAGTAATCTGCAAAGCTATGTTTTGGCTAGAATTTGAATATTGGATTTCATTTATGATATGAATTGTGAAAACGAAATACATAGGCTTGAAATTAAATTGAATAAAAGAATAAAAAAACATAAAATAATTTCCTAAATTTACGAATACTTCGATAAACATCCAACAAACGATGAATTTGAAAAAAAAAATAACATGCTCAAACTCCAGATCCAGAGTCCATGCGATCACTTATTTCTAGAAATAATTTAGTTTTCAGCTTATATAACCAAAATCGCTATAACGAACTATCCAAGAACCGGAAAACTGAAATTTTCGAACGTACGAAACAAGTTAACACGCAAAACAAAGAAATTAAATCTACTTTTCGAGTGTGAATGAAAAAAAAAAGTAACCGAAGATATGATTAAAGATTGTGATATGTTGCGACGGTGATCAATGGGAGAACGAAACAAAGGTAAAAGAAAAGGGAAGGAGTGCATACGAAATGGCGTACCTTCACGAGTCGAGGCAAAGCCAAAGAGCTGAAGCAACGACCAGATCTCTGGAAAGAACGAGTAAAGCCAGAAACCGGAGTGGAGGAGCCCTAATTATCGATTTAGAGGAATTTGAATTGTACACATTCAGAGTGTACAACGACAGCGTTTTATTCGACCAAAATGGTAAAAATACCGTAAAATATGTGGCTCCTGGGATTTAAGCCCATGACTCCACGGCCACAACATGAAATTCTTACCACTAAAGCACATGCACAAGTTGATTTTTATTTTTGAAAATTACTATTTACTCTTAACAATTTTCATCGACTAAACAAGCACCCTAATCAAAAAATAATTTTTAGTGTAACTTGTATGAGAAAAAAGAAAATTTTATTTAAACAATATCGAAAATCATTCTTGCAATAAAATCACTAAATTAAATTATAGTTTGGTTTTATCGATAGTCTTCAAGTCAATTCAATTAATTATAATTTAATAAGTTTGACTTCTAACTCATAAACCGAAAATGTTGTAGTCATATCAAAATTCATTGGTTTTACTGCTTGATCAGAAAATTAAATGACTGTAAAACTATATTAGACCAATCTTTCAACTAATTGTATGCTTCAATAACCAGACAAGGAAACCAGCACACAACACTCGCAACTTTTTTTTTACAATGAGCATCATAAAGAGACACACATACATAAATGGATCATGAAGTTCCTGCATCTTCCCGCTGTATGTAAGGGAAATCCCAAGGTGGCCCCCGCAGTGAAGATGTTATACATTCCCAGTGAACAATATAGTCGCATCCATTGTGTAAACACTCCAGAGACAGATCAAGGCAAGGTTGATGACACATATGACATGTAGAAATATTGTGGGTGAAAGTGACTGGGTGTTGATGATTCCTCAATTTATAGGAACCCCCCGGCTTCATCTATGAGTACCTCTTCACCACGCATTCACGATGAGCGGAAGTTTTACACATTGCACAGTGGTAAAACGACTGGTATGGATCTCTACGCCTTTCGCATACGTCGCAGTAATTGTATTTCGAGTAAAGATTATCCTCCTGATAGGTGAGCGTGAGAGGATGATCATCACACCTGTGTAGAATCTTGCTGGGAAGCCTGAGGCACTTCCAATCCACAGCGAAATTGCAATCTCTGCATGTAAATGCGCCACGTAACTCATCTCCACATCCACTACATAGCCCTCTATTGAATGGGTAATAGTAAAGGCGGTGTTCATGCCCTTGCAATTTGGGAGTATCAGAAACTAGAGCACATGCAAGGCAGAAATCAGCATAATATGGATAACACATGATGCATTTGTAGGCAAAACTAGCATTGAACTGATACGTGCATCGTTGACACTGAAAAATACGATCTGCTAAAATCAAGGTGAGTGGAAGTTGGTGACCATGAAACTAAAGGTACTTCTTTAAAGGATATTCAGCACACGATCTATGGAGATTGAAATCACATTGTGAACAATGGTAAAATGAAGTTGTGATGTATGAAATGCAACCATCACAAACTTTATCACCCTCAGAATCATCGTTCAAAACCAAGTTATGCTGATGGCTTCTATGTTTTATCTCCGAAGCTGCTACTGTAGTGTCTTCTCCAAGTTCAGTCTCCTTGATAACAACAAAGGCTGATTTCGCTTTGAGTTGCTTGTCTGTGTGTTCCAACTCAAAAGAGAAATGGAAAAACTCTCTATTTTGTATGGCAAAATTCACATGGACAATATAATTGCATTCAATGCAAAAATAAACCCCATGCTCAGCATTTACTTCTTCAGGGCAAGCTTCGCATTTCCGTGTTTTAATCGCATGTTGCCCAAGGATGAAGGTGTGCGAGAGCAGGTGGTGATGTCGTGGAAACTTGAGGATGGGTGACAATGAAATGCAACCTTCATGGACTGTAAGACTGCATTTAGAACAAATATAAGTAGCACATCTCCCCTCTGTGCCGCAGGCATCACAAATGAATGGGACTTGCTTCCAAAACAAGGTGAATGGGTGTTCATGGATTCTTCCACCTTTCACAACAGGTGGTGGGGATGCGAAATCTTGCATGTGGAACAAGAATAAACAAATTCTTGATCACGGGTTTTTTGACAAATTTTACAGGGGAGAGATTCTGGATTGGATTGTAGAAAGAGAGGATGGTTGCGGTGGCAAAGATGGTTTATTTTAGTTGGTACTTCAGCACATGATACATGAAGTTCAAACTTTCAAGGTGAACAGCAATAAACAAACTTGCCTGTATTGGTTTTTTGGCATATTTGACAACGGAGTCCTTCGGTATTGAACTGCAAAACTAGAGAATGTTGGGTATGGAGAAAATGGTTGATTTCAAGAGGCAAATCAACACATTTCTTGTGAATGAGAATTCCATTGCCAAGATCAAAGTATGCAGAATCCCATAACCACTTGCTACATGCACAACACAGAGCATCATTCAGTTTTTCAGGAAAATTTTCGACGGAGACCAATGCATCTTTCTGGGGAACATCTTCAAGCATTCCAAAACTTTTCTCAGCAATGCACATTTGATATGAAAGTGAAGGTAACAAGAACAACGATAAACAAACTTGTCTAACACTTTTTCACAAAAATAACAATCAGGACTATATGGTGCACTTACTAGAAGTTCAAGGCTGTGTTCTCGATGAAAATGGTGATTCATCTCAGCAGGCGCCTCGGCGCACATCCTGTCAAGGAAAAACCCGCAATCTGCACAGCTGAAGCTGGGTCCAGAAATCAGCTCCCCACATGCAGAGCAGTAAACCTTCTCACTTTCGGGGCTCTGCTTCTCGATGAACACAAGTGGATGTTGGTGGCTGAAAAGTTTAAGCGCCATAACTCTCTTTTTCCTCTCGTTTCAATGAAAGTTTTGTTGGCTAATTAGCAGCAGATTGATGTGCAAGTTTGAAGTCGTATGATTCAAAATGTATACTATGGAAATGGGATATTTGTATAATTTACTTTTTTTTAAAGCAAAATAAATAAATAAAGACAAAAGACTATCTTTGATAAAATAATTGTTAAAATTATACATGAACGAACTTTAGTCAAATATGTAATGTGACATATAAACTTTGATTTGATACACTTGTATAAATAAAACTTTGATCTTGATTTAATTGTGCACAAAAAACTTTGTTTTTGATACAATTATATACATTTTTAAAAATAAATATATTTATTTTTGTATTGAATTCAAAAACAAATAAAGTTTAGGAATTGGCTTGCAACCCTTAAAATATTATCCGAATCAATCTATCAAAACCATATTCCTATAGAAAATAATCAAACAAATGGAGTGTGTTTCAAAAACTTCGGTGAGACAATCGAGACAAAATAAATCAAACATTACTTTCTAATAAAACATCGAAATCTTAATAAAGCATAAGCATTTAACATGTCATCGTAACAAAGCAATTCAGGACAATATCAGCGTGCAAGTTTTACAACAATATCAAATTATTTAGATGTACTGTTATCGATTTTAGCTCGATGGTCTATTAATTACATACAAATACTCGAATCTCACTTCTTAAATTTCTTGATGTTTTGCATGTTGGTATAGTTTATGTTGAGTGTTTTGAATGATAAACATGCTAAATAATCATTTTAGTGATTAGACAATACAAATAGGACCTTGCTAGGCATTCAATTTGTAATTTCTAATATTATTTTGACTTATAATTTGTCATATTTAGAGCTTGGATTTTTTAATAAACATTTTTAAGTATCAAATTTTCTAATGATGCAAATGTACTTTTTTTTATTTAAATAAAAAAATTGATACAATTTTTCATTAATTTAATAATTCTACGTAAAAGTGTGCTCCATATGTTTCTTACCTTTAGGAGATGTATTCTTTTGGAATTTATATTTTTTTAAAGTAAGAAAAAAATAAAAATATTAACTTTTTTTTTAATTTAAGCATCTTAAGATTTTTTTTCCTTCAATCTCAAGGCTATAATTTTTAAAGGTAAAAGGTAGAAAAAAAAAACAAAAAAATATACTCTCATAATTTATATATTCTTTACTTCATCTTCATGTATAACAAGATTTTATATAAAGTAAAAAAATAGTTGTATTGTTAATATCTTTGGAATATGTATTGTTGATTATTATTTAGTTGAGCACAAAATAAATTAAGAAGAAATAATAAGATTCATTTCTTGGTTTGTTATTTTTTTACTCTTTTATCTAGTATTTAATTTATATTTTAAAATTAATCCGAGGTGATTACAATATATAATATTTGTTCAAAAGATTGTCAATCATTGACAATGAACGTTGTGTTCGAACTCGAAACTTTTAAAAATAACAATCATCTCTAAATCTACTAATCCATTAAAAGCAATTAAGATTTGAATTCATCAATAATTTGTTATATCCTCCTTAAGTATAAAAATATGTTTAATATATAAATACTAATATAAAACCAAATTTTAAGATATTTTATTATTTTTAAAATTTATAAGGTGAAATATATAAAAAGCAATTTATGCCCTCTTAAATTACTTATTCCTTAATTTTTCTTTACTCAAAGCATGATTACCTAAGTACTATGGGAATAACATGTTCTTTAAGTCTTGAAGTTCATATATTTTTATTTGAATAATCAATTAAACATAAGATATTCTTAAAGAACTAAAGTAGAAATTATATTAAAAGAATCCATATTAAATTATTAATTTTTGAACGAAATCAAAATGCAAATAAAAAATAGACTTAACAATTAGAACTCATTATGCGACCTTAGTGGTTAAAAAAGTGTTATTATTCTTAGATGTATAAGGTTCAAGCAGCTACGTCTGCAGGATATGTATACATTATTATTAATAAAGATTATAAATAAATATTGTTATCTTGTAATCACCTCAGACTTTTAAAAAAAATAATTAATGTAAGTCATGTTTCTATATTTTAAATCGCAATTAATATTTTATTACTGCAAAAATGAATATTTTTTAAATAATAATATGTCAAAATTTTATATTAAATATTATAATTTACTAGTAGAATATTTTTTAACAATATCAATACATAGAATAATTATCCATTATACTACATAGATTTTCATAGTCACATAATTTTATATAATTTAACTATATTATTATTTTTTTCTATTCATGATATTAAATTTTGAATCTTTGATATTTGTTTAAAAAAACTTAACGCTTCATTCCACTAATTTAACGAGTAATTCACATTATGATCAAAATTTAATACTATGAAATCTTCTCTCATTATTATCAAAATATGACAAATAGAAGGAATAAAGGCTACGAAATGAAAGCAACATAAAATATTTATTAAAAGATGTTGTAATTGTTGGAGGGGCCATGTTGTGGTTCTTATTGGATGCAATCTGTTGTGTGCTTAAAAACAAGCCGACCTTTCAATTGTTCTTTCATCAACTAAATTGTAAGTTTTACTGCAAGCCCACATCACAGTATGGGCAGCTTTTGTATGCTTCTCAAAACCCAAAAATATCACACATTTATATATATGTTTGATCGAACATGTTAATTGGAAAGACATTGGTGACAACAACGTTGCTTTCCTTTGATACTTTAGCCTGGTGGTGGGGAAGGGGATTTGTTGTGAAAAGAGGGTCGATTATGGTGAGTGTTTTGTTGTGGTACATTTATTACAGCGAGTTCTATGATCAATTATAGTTAAAAATGAAAAGTTGTTCAAAACAATTACATTCCGAGTAATCATGCTTCAATTAATAATTTATGGCCGTTCATCACATTGATGAGAAAATGTTACTCGTTAATTGTCACGTTTAATCGCAATTATTATATCTCATCTAGCATGACTTAAAACACATCAGAATGTCACCTTACCAAAGACGGATTTGAAAGTTTAACAATAGAGAAAATTGACATGAGTTAAAAACTTTCAAAAACTTTCAAAAAAATCAGCATGATTTAAAAACTTTCAAACGAGATAAAACGTAATTAACAACAGAAAATAGAAAACAAAACAAAATTAAATTAAAATTAAAATTAAAATTAAAATTTGAAAGTTTAAGTATTTAATCCTATATGTTTTTTAGTAACGAAAATTGGGGGATAGTGGCACCCCGGATGAAATATAACTTCGTCCCTACGGATGACACCTCAAGATTGAAGACGACTAGCATATATAAGGCGGAGACTATAAGATAGTTACCTTCGTTGAGAGCCTTTGTCTTAAACAATTACATTTTGAGTAGTTTCAAGTAATCATATTCTAGTTAGTCGTTTAAAACCCTTTATTCTACAATTCATCTATGATCTTATCATACTAACGAGAGCATTTCATTCGTCAACTACCATATCTCATTTAACGTAACTTAGAACACATCATAATATTACTTTACTAGAATCTATGAGATCAAATCATTTTATTTTTCTTTCACCCATCAATAACAAGATGACATGTGACACCTCAAGACGGGAGACAATTAACATATATAAGGCAGAGACTATGAGAAGAAAATCAAATAACCTTCTTACACTATTGTTATACCTCCTTTATAGGTCACGCTAAGTTGTTTCTTTAGAATTTCATATCCTCTTGCCAACTATGACCTCATGATCTAATTACATAATGATCGGCCCACGTGATTTATTGACAGTTGAGTTTATTCTCCCTTTCGATCTACAAGTAGTTATCATGACCTAACACCTAACATCGACACTAAAGGTTAATATGTAAATATACCTATGACAAGTAGAAAAGGGACTTCTTCATGAATCTTACTCTCCAGTCATATCTCTCTCACAACTCTTCTTCATCTTTTGATCATTTACATCACTAACAAATCATCGTGTCATCACTGATTGTAATTCTCTATCCAAATCAAAAGAGATAAACCACCTACGACCGACTTAAACAACTTGTTCCATTAACAACCACCATTCTCCCACCAAACTCTACCTCCACTCTTTCATCCTCTTCAACTCCGTCCAATATACCTTTTAACTTTCCATCCTAAACAGACTGAACCATCTTCAACCCATCTTTGCATCAAACAAAGCCATTGCTTTCCCATGGTTGTGAAACATAAATAAATACAACAGCGGTAAAATTAATTTTACGGTGGCCATTGAGATCCCTGATGGACATCGTATCTTTTTAGGACTGTTGAAATGTTCCAACTGGGACTGAGTTGTAGGATTTGTCATGTTTGGAGGAATTCAAGAGGCTTAGGGACCCCACACATCACGTGGAGTGGGATTACCCTAAACCCCAAAATCCTACAAAAACAAGAGCAATGGTCACTTACAAATCTCCCCTAATCCTTTCTCAGCCAATTATCGTCCATCTCCCACGTGGGGATCCAAGCCATTCCCATCCCCCACTTCCTTTCTTATATTCTTCCCCCCTCCCCCACACCCATTGCATCACCAATCATGGGGGATTCTTCAACATCATACATACACATGGTGAACTGCTTTTCTCTCTTATGATCATTTCATATGCCATTAGCTCTATGTATGTATGTATGTATGTATGTATGTATGTATGTATGTATGTATGCATGCATGCATGTAAGTACGTATGTGATGTTTTGTTGTTGTTGTTGAACAGGTGCAGCATCTGATAGAAAAGTGTTTGATCTTCAACATGACGAAAGAAGAGTGCATGGAAGCACTGTCAAAGCATGCAAACATCAAACCTGTCATCACTTCCACTGGTAAAAATTTGCTGCTGGTTTCATTTCTTTACTTTCATATTGCATGCAGTAATCGAATTCGAAACAAACCCTAATGATCGAGTTATACACTTGAAAAGGGTTTCATTTTCTCCCACGGTTATCGTAACTTATCGACCCGAAAACTCCGACCAAGCCGAAGTAGGATGTCCTAGTCTTGGATAGAGTAAGTCGTAAATATTAAAATTCGAATCTAAACATACTCTATATACGACATCACCAGTTTCGTTTTACCTTCAACGGTTGCTATGATCACCTCAAACAACCTTTGATCAACTCAACTCGAACCCGGATATATGTGAGGATTGATATTCGAACTCAGACATACTAGATTCAGGGTCGAATCATGATCGAAAATTTTGAAATTCTCGCATAATTACAGTTTGGATATTTGTTGGTTCATGTTTTACCTATTTATCCTTGAATTTTTTGCTTTATATGATCATAGTACTTTTTAACTATATTTGAACAGTTTGGAATGAGCTTGAAAAGGAAAACAAGGAATTCTTTGAAGCCTATGCACAATCTCAGAGCAAAAAAGACCGAATGTCCGAGGAAGAGACAAGTCGGATGATCCAGAAGATGATCTCGGATTCCTCTAATAAAGATCCCGACGAATAAATCGGTCCGATCCGGGGTTTAAATAACGGCCACTACACAATATTCCGGTCAACACTTCCCTATTTCAACCCTTTTCATTATCGATATTCAACGGATTCAACTCCGATGAACCTTATCATATATGTTTCGACCAAAAACACATCCACTCCGACTGTAATTTAAATCCCGTCTAAAATCAAAACCATTGTCCATTCAGTCTTTTTTGAGGGGCAGTGGTCCTAGTACACATGTTCTATACTACGGAAGATCACGGAGTATTTCATTTTGTTTATATTTGGTCCCCCCTTCTCCGTATAAAATCTAAGCTACCCTAATTTGAATAACCAATAACCGTGCACCACGTCGGCACTGTCGCAATAAAATTCGAAGGAAAATACAAAAAAAGGTATCTTCGTAATTTTAATTCAATCTTCGTCGAAGTTGCTTGTGGTCGTATCATATTTTATAAATGTAAACGAAGTTGGACAGTTGTATCTATGTTTTTTGTTGTATGTAAATTGAAGGGGACAGTTAATGATATAATGACGACATATGAAAATCTCTGCGCCATCCTGTCTTTGTATAAAATTCATTTTGGCTTTGCCTTGTCTCGTACTATTGTTAGAATTTCGAGTATATTTATGATAATTATTTGATATATAGATGGTATATTTTTTATAAATTATTAATATTTGATTATTTATATTAATATCAATAATAGATACGTAATGATGAATTAATTTTTTTATAAAATATTTATAATTACTACATCAAATAATAATAATGTATATTAATAATGTTAATGTTTTATGAAGAAAAGTTTTGTGAAGAAAAAAAAAAGCAAAATAGTGGGGAATCCATGGACCTGAGCAGCCAGGTCATAGTCGTGCATTTTTGTACGCCATTAATGCATGTGAAGGTGAATGAATGGAATATTTTGGAATTTACACTCAAGACAAGTGTAGTGGCAGGAATATGAAAGAAACTTTATACATATTCAAAGAGTGAACATTTTTGTGATTTGATTTGATTTGAGTTGGATCTGATTTTAATAATATAAATTTTAATTTAAATACGTTAATTGGGTTTAGATTAAAAAATAATGAAATTAATTATTTATAGAATATTAAGATAGGTTTTCTAATCGAGACATGAGTGGTCTGTTTTAGAAAATAGATATTAGTTTGAAAATTTTAGGCGACATCAGTCATGGTATTATTGTTATTGTCGATATTTTTTTATTTTTTTATTATTTTCTTTATTTTTTATATTATATTATATTATTATTTTTCTTTTCTTTTCTTTTCTTTTCTTTTTTAATAATTATGTTTTTATGGTACATTGTTTTACTCTTTCTGACACTTTTTTTTTATGTTCTTGTAATTTGACTTTTACATTTATTTATCTTTCTTTTCATAATTGGGATTTGACACCGCCATGACTAATCAAGATGATATTTGTTTGTTATCATATTGATGTTCCCTATTTTGGATCTTCATATTAGATTTGGATAAGTGATTTGCGTTTGTGAATAGTTTTCTCATGTCGCTCGACTTTGATTTATGGTTTGTTGGTAGTTTTTCAATAGCTTTGAATAAATATAAATTTTAAAGAAAACATATATTATTTAGCTATATATATATTAATTATTTAATTTTTAGTGCAATCAACCAATAAAATTTATTTGAATGGAATCTCACCAACTTGATATGTATAATGATTTGTAAGTAGTCCAATTGTTCCAAATTTGAAAAAAAAAAAGAAGTAGAAAGGATAAAACAAGTCTGAGTAAGCAATAGATATTTGAGTAGCCTTATCTTTTTCTTAGATTACATAATCTTATAAGATGTATATAGTACAAACCATAGCTTGGATGAGGTGACATGGTAGCACTAATTTAAAAAAAATGTCATATTTAATAAAAAAAATTATCAACCTATATCTTATTTTAAAAATTAAAATAGCAATTTAATAAAATAAATATTTAATAAAGATGCATTAATTTTAATTCGTAAAATTGTTTAAAGATAACATTTTCATATTTATATAGATATGAAATGTTAGAAAGTATCCTTATAAGATCAAATTATCTTAATATTCATCAAATTTGGATCAAATTATAATCTTTAAATATGAATTTCCAAAATTTTATATATTTTCTACATTCGATGAGTTGCTATGAATATTTGTGAAACTAAAGTAAATAATTTTAATATCCTTTTCCTCAAAATTTATATATTTTCTAAATTTCAACCTATTAAATATATTCATATGTGTGTATGTGAATTCATATAATTTTAATTACTTTTTCCTTATATAATCGATTATATTTGAAAATAAAAATAATTAAATCATAAGTCATGAGACAGGAGACAGGAGACAGGAGGAAGACAAGCAATATGAACGGACAAAACAAGCCTCCCGATAAGAACATTGTCCTATTTTATGGAATATACAATGTTTTTCTTTAAGGAAAAGCTTTCATGGAAAATTACATGCCAGACAATGTCCACTTGTTTCAACCGTTACAGTTAATTCAATTACTTAAATGAATTTAAAAGATATTATTATAATTTTTTTTTGTATAAACCATTATTTTTCAATTATAGAAATGACCATCCAGCTCAGTTGGTAGAGCACAAGGTTCTTAATCTTGAGGTCGTGGGATCGAGTCCCACGGAGGGCATTTCATAATTCGGAGGTCTCTTACGGAAGATGCTCTCAACCTGATGTTGGGGGTAACTTACTATCTTACCTCCCCCTTACCCCATACATATGGGAAAAAGAGACAGTCATTTTATTATTTTTCAATTATAACGTTAAGAAAATGATTGTTTCTTCACACTATTCTACTGTCACGAATAATATAGAAATTAAACTAAATTTTTATAGAGATTTGACGAGGATAAAATATGATAGAAGATTAATGATAAAATTATTATTGATGATCTGCGTTATATTGTACATGATATTATTTACGGTGATAAAGTTGTGATTTATCCCTTCCTGATTCAATTGTATGTTTGTTTTTTAGAGTGAACTTTGGTCAGGTGTAAGTTCTTTGGATTATTTTTAGTTTTTACTTAGTTATGTTGTACTCTTTTCCTCTCCATATATCCAATTCATAGTTCAAATAATCCAAATTTAAAATAATTCGGAATATAGAATGATCAAAATTCAAAATGGCTCAAATAAATAATCTGAAACCATATAGGCTATAACCTAAAAGATATGAAATCGATAATTATCAAATTCAAAAAATTTGAATGACTTAAACCTGAAAATATTTGAAACTATTTGAATTTGAATTAAACTCAAAATCAAATACATCTTAGAATTACCCAAATTTAATCGGATATAATCCAAACTCAACCGACATGTGCATAGATAATTCTTGTGAATTAGATTAATTAATTAATTAAGATGTACCAAAGCCACAAATCAACATTAGAATCACATTGAAAGTCACTATTTAAACTCGAACGACGGGCCATTCATATGAAATTTTGAGCCAACAAAAAAAGAGTTTTTAGCAGTGCTCAGAAACCAGATTTAATGTCTTTTGAAACAAAAATCACGTCGTTTTCTCTCTCAAACCTCGAATTTCCATATTCATATCTATGGTTTAACCATTTGATTATGTCTGAAAACACGATTTCGATGTTTTCTGGTGTTTCACCATATAACAACCCATGCCACGTCCCAAGATAAAGCTTCAATGTCTTGTTTGAACTTGATGCGACGTCGTACAGTTGTTGGCTTACTGTTTTATCCGTTACTTTATCATCTTCTCCATGAAGAACTATAAATGATAATGACACCTATTAATCAAATTATGATATTGTCAAAATTCCAATCTAAAATTAAGTGGGTGTGATCGTCAGATCGGATCAGATAAAAAATACTTGTTCCCAATGAAATCAATTAGTCTAATTTGATCTGAATCGATCTTTTAATTCGATTTTTCAACACTATTTATAAAGTAATAGTTATAACTAACCTCATTGAGTCTTTATTCCACCTCAATGCTCATCTTTAAAAGCTCATTGCCTGTATTCAAACGAGGACGATCTTAGTAGCAATATGGATTTGCTCTAATCTGTAATCAGTTAATTAACATTAGCAATCAACAAATATTGGAAAAAAAACAATAACTTTTAGTGAAATTAAAACAAGTATTTGAACCATCGTCGGTATAGACCTCTACTGACAAAACATAACTATCCGAGTAGGATTAATAATCTATATCGAAAATCAGATGTGTCACTAGAGTTATCGCCATCAATTTAGAAATTGTTTTAAGTCCGTAGTTAATTTAATTTTTACCTTTACCGACGACTTCAACTGTAAAATCTATCGAAATAGAAATGTATGACTATGGCTTCATCGCATCTATACCGATATTACACTCCGTCGCTACTAGACATGATATATTGATATCGAATTTAAAGTGCCAGTAACAGTGAACCGCCGCTATATATGGACTTGAAAAGTGTCGGTAAAGGCGTCGGTAAATACCAGAGCCCTTATCTCAGGTCTTTTGAAAGCAGCGTCAATAACATCTTGGCTTGGAATTATTCTCCAAGTTGGTAAAAAATTGCAAAGCTTTCCAAAGCACTTATGACTAAAGGATGTGGCTTCATTTCATCTGCAATCTGTGAATAAAAATTTTGTTAATCAATATTTTATTTTCTTTTACATATTAAAACTTTAATATATATAATTGATATAACCACTGGTTTCTGATATATTAGTCGACTAAACTGAATCGAGTTCTGAAATGACAAAAACGACCCTCCCAACTCAGTTTGCTCCATTCGCAAACACTATGATTTGAACCCCATGACATTGCTTAAGAATCTAGTACCTCATCTCTCTAGACCAACTGATAGTTGATAAATTTTTAATATATTTATTAATTCATATATCGACATTATTTATATTTTTAAAATATGAGACAATATATACATATAAGACTTAAGACTTAATGTTGCTCGAAGTCTTCGAACTTTTTGAAGATAAAAAATTAATTATGACCTTTAGTATTTTTTTTAAAAAATATTTTTATTTTAAGTTCTGTAATTATAATTTTAATGTTATTTCAAAGTTTTTTAATACAATTATAGTCAATATTATTAATTTTCTTAAACTCACAATTTTACCTAAAATGAAAATTTTC